TTTAATTATCTAATTCAAATTTTGTATGAGTTTTTTTTTTGTATATGAATTTTTTTTTATCTTTATGAAGTCTTAACATGTTTCCGTAGATTTAAAAACATCTGAAATGTTATGCATTTCCTCATACCATATGGGTCTAAAATCTGTTCACAACAAGTGATGCAACACAGCTTACAGGAATTATTTAATAAATGTAATTGTTGTTCCAATGCTTATTATTTTCTTGCATGAAACCCAAAAGAAGACGTTTGGCAGAAAGTTTGTGCTGCTCGTTTACAAACAAGAAAAATAGATGGTTATTTACACTGTCAAACTCTAAAAAGCCATAAATGTACCATTAAAAATAATCTAAATGGCTAAATTCCAAGTCATATTCCAACTAATTGGGTTTGGGTGACCTGACATTGAGTAAAAGATAGCAAAAATGTAATTTGTGGTTGAACTACTCCTATAATATATTGTTGGCCAATTTGTCATTTATTTCTCTTGTCTTTTTGCTTTGTTCAGCCGATAATGACTGCAAGAGCTACATCTCCAGCGCTGGTGTGCTGAAGCCCTCCATTGACTGCATGTTTTTACAATTCTGTTGTGGGACGTGTGATAACAGATACTGCTGCTCCAATCCAATTATGAAGTTATCCGAGGATGACCAAGACGACTGTTTTTTGTGAGAAGTTTTACTTCTCTCATGATAGAAGAAATGTCTTTCATAGCTTCATACTGACATGCACATTTAGTCTTTCAGTGTCGCTAGCGTTACCAAACTACGTTTTGAAAATAATGACTTCCCAAGCCCAATCCCCATTTTTGTTTGGTCGGACAAACAGATAGCGAAGCCATTGGTTAAAGGGGTCATATGATGCTGCTAAAAAGAACAGTATTTTGTGTATTTGGTGTAATGAGATGTTTATGCGGTTTAAGGTAAAAAAAAACATTATTTTCCACATACTGTATTGTTTCTCCTCTACGCCCCGCCTTTTTGAAACGCATCGATTTTTACAAAGCTCATCGGTGTGAAAAAGCGAGGTGTGATGTGATTGGCCAGCTATCCAGTGCGTTGTGATTGGCCGAATACCTCAAGTGTGAGACGGAAATGTTACGCCCCTCACCCTACTGTGATGATGCCCTGTCAGGCCGGAGCGATGATTCAAAAACATGAAAACCCATTATAAACGAGGCATTCGTTGCATCCAGTGGGGACATAATTATGGATTATAATGACTTATACTGTCTTTTTACGCGTTGCGTTGCATCGCGCCGCGTAAACATAAAACCATGTCTGCATTTGTGATCGGAGAAATGACAAACAACAAGCCCTACTCTACACTGCCCAAAAAACTCGCTTTAAATATATAAAATATAAAAACTCTTTAAATATAAAAAATTTTAAATTGACTTTGAGTCAGAACAGCCGGCATTGTAGTCTTCTCTCCCAGGTAGGCTGCTGTGCTACAAAGCTGCACACGAGTTCATGACTGTCACTTCAGTCAAAAGATTCTGATGAAACGGCGCTCAGAACCGACTTGTATAGCAGTCGGCTCCACCCCTTTTGGCGTGCTGAGGCGCCATTGGTTCGTGCAGCTACACAAATGTGATAAAATCAGGCTTCAGTATCAGAGTAAACAGGAGTTTCTCATAGCATGTTAACACAAAACTCATTCCCTTATCTCAGGGAACCGAGGTTACGTAAGTATTACGTAAGAGCATTTTTCCCTACTTGTAAAGTAAAGTAACATCCTTTTTAATGTTATATTTTAATTGTTTGTTAATTGATACCTTTTCAAAAGTCCTTTATATATTTTGTCGTGAAACATTTTAAATTTGCATCTCTTCTGTCAGACGTACACTAGCAAATCTGTTCAGGGCGGGGCTACGTACGTCACCTCGCCCCATAACTACTCTCATTGGCTCAGTCATACTTGATAGAGAATCACTTTGTCTGAAATCACATACTCTCTGTGGAGGTACTTTTAAATAAGAAATTACTTCACAACCGTTAAATTAGTTTGGCATTCATTGACCATTAGGTTAGGTTCTATCAATGAATGTGTATTATTATAAAATGTAATGCTGACATGCTACATTCATCATGCTGTCACTGTCATGTGACCTTACTAACCTACCAGGGTTGCTTTGCTTTGCTTCACTGCCATCAAAAGGCCTGTCTCAAAACCCACACTTGCTGTCTTTGCTCTTGAGCACTTGTCTATACTTACATGACATATATCCTGTATTTGGCCCAAGTGTTCAAGTAAGCATGAAAACTGCAAGTGTGTGCAGAAGTTCTGATTTCCTGATGGGACACAATTATATAGTGTTGTGAAAGTACTATTTTTTAACTGAGCCTAATTTACACATTTTGATTTTCAGTACTTTGTCCTTTAAAATATTACATTTACATTACATTTACATTTAGTCATTTAGCAGACGCTTTTATCCAAAGCGACTTACAAATGAGGACAATAGAAGCAATCAAAAACTAACAAAAGAGCAACAATATGTAAGTGCAATATTTACATATTTGCAACACCTCTGGGCATTTATTTTAGGCATCCAAAACCAACTCATATCTACTTGAATGGGGAAATCCTGAAATTTCAAAAACTAAATTACTAAATTAAATTACATATTTCAACTCGGCAATAATGTTATTCCTTATCCTCAAACAGCATTAAAATCAGCATAAAATTAAAATGTACCCATCATATTGTGAACAATTCATCCATAAATACAGTATGTTTAATTAATTTATTTTTTCTTGTAATATTTAATAAAAATGTCATAACGGGACCTGAAAATGTCTTCTCTCTGGTAATACATGCCAGACTTCTCCAAACATCAGTCAGAAAAATTTAATAATCTGTGTCTTGTACAGAATTTAAATAACTTCCAAATTATTAGTAACAAAACACATGAGCGTGAATTATGCAATTTCCACCTTTGATCTAGTAGGTGGCTGATTCACTATGAAAGTCTTGACTGAACTTTTCACTCCTTCCCTCATTGTAGCCACCTACTCTCGTCTACTTTCACATCTCAGATGAGCGGACAGGTTTATTGAAAAGAATCAGATCGAAAGATTGATTCATTCATGAACCTGTTTTAGTCTACAGGCAAAATGAGAAAAAAAAGAGATTTAACTGACACTGAAAAGTCCAATATTAGGAATTGCCCACAAGAAGTATGCAACACTACAGAAATGTCAAAATGAAGGCATGAACATCGGACAGTTAAATGCTTATTTGGCCACTGGGGTTTCAAAAATCTGTTGAGAAAAAAGACGCATATTAACTGCAAATGACTTAAGGCAAAGAATTCAAGTTAAACTGAATTAGTGACAGATCTTATTATGCATATCCATATTGTGAAGTACATCTGGGTGAAGAGTATCATCAGAATCGGGTTCATCCATTGGTTGGATGGAGACAGATCTGAATGTGATTGGCTGCATTCAAAATTGCATACTTCCCTTCTATATAGTAGGCCAAAAACAGTATGTGAACAGAGTCGCTGTGTTGTGGAAAGTTACTTTTAAAAGTAACGCATTACAATATTGCGTTACTCCCTAAAAAGTAACTAATTGCATTACTTAGTTCATTTTTATGGAAAGTTTTTTCCATCTGGGCTGGGCTTACTTGTATGTTATTATTATAAAAAGTTCTATTTTTGGCAAATGTAAAAGCCCTTTCACACCAAAAGTGAAATGAATAAGCGTCTGGCTGAAGGAAATGTAAATTTGAATCTGTACAGTAGAGGGCGCAGCTCAATCAAACCTTTCAGCAAACTGTTCAGCTGTCATTTTGAGAAATACTGAATCTGTTTTTGTGCAATTGAGATGAGTAAATGCATGTTCACATTTAGTCTAGAACTACAGTTAGCATCATGTTTACACGGCGCACACAACGCCTCTGCACTCACTCCTGATTTCTCTCAACATGAGGACAGTAGAGCTGTCAGTCAATACATGTGAAAACAAAGTAACTGGCATTACTTATTTGAAAAGGTAAGTCAGATATTTCCTTGTAAATTAAAAATTAATTGATTACTTTACTAGTTACTTGAAAAAAGTAATCTGATTACGTAACATTATATGTAATGTCTTAGCCCCAACACTGCAGTATGTCTGAATTCATAGTATTTAAAAAGTACCTGACCTACTTCTGGTTAGATTCTGAAGTAGGATTTGTGAATGTCAGTGAAGTGGTAGGTCACATGACAATGACAACATGACAATGTATTATATTCATACTACACACATTTATACTATATAGAACATACTTTTAAACAGTTGTGAAGTAATTGTGTGGTTTTAGTGGACTAAATGATTGGAGAAGTCCGGCATACGTCACCTGAGAGGGGTCTGATGTTTCACTGGAAGATATAGTTATTACATTTTAATCTAAATTTACAAGGTCAAAAAAAGTGAAAGATGAAATATACGTTGATGAATCATTCACAATAACATCAATAACATACAACTGTAAATAAATAGGGTGAATAGGGCTGACTTTAAGTGTACTGGAGATTAAAGGGTTCCTGGTGGTTTCACACTTAATTCTTCATCTTAATGCTTAAAAGTCTTAAAATTTGGCATGAGTGCCAGCATACAAACAGTGTGTACATGTTCTGTAATGTGCAATAAAGAAAATAAACAGTGAGGTAAAGAAAAAAGGAGATTGAGGCCCCAGGTAGCCTAGTTGTTTTGGAAATGGTAGCTGGTTTCTAGCTGGTTGACCAGCTACCATGTTCCCAAAACCAGCTTTTATGACCAGACCTAGTTTTAAAATACATGTGTGGATTTTAGTTGTTGTTTCATCCACTAAGGCTTCAGGATGGGAGAGGCATTTGATGGGTTATGAGATGCACATTGTGATTCCCATTATTGTGAGATGTTTTATGATTTTACACACACACACACACACACGTGACACACCGCACACACAAAACCTTCATCATCTTTTATCCTATGTTTACGCTCTAGACGTCACATGCCTAATAGTGTCGTTGTTAAGATTTAAACCTGTAAGTTAAGGACTGGGCTTTTTCCTTCCTAAGGCAGGGCTCGTGAGGGCTTTAGGCATCTTCTCAAATTACAACATCCGCACGGAACGAGCTATTGAAGTGGAAGAGCTGAGCTATGGCGTCCACCATCCCGGTTCTTCTGCTCCTGTCTGCGGTTTTATTCACGGCGACATTCGGTAAGTGTCTAAAACACTTAAAGAAACGGCTTCTTAGCGTTCGGACTTGTTATTTTTTACGGTTTGTCTGGGTAAACCGATGTCTGCTAAGTAGCCTATACGGCTGGATCTGCCCTGACAAACAGACGACATGAAATGTTTTAGCACTTATTCTGTGATGTATTAAAGCATGTCTTTTCTATGTGCCATTTGTGATGTTGTTTTTTTAATGTTTCACGTGTAGCTTTTAGTTGGTAGTTGTTTTCTTTTTTTGTCTACAAAAATGATTTTTTTGCTAAGATTATTAGAGTGGCCTACGTTTTACTAGGTTTTCTGTCTTTCTACGAATTTCACATTTAATTCAGAATGTTTGTTTGTAATTATTTGTGAAATTTACTAGCAAATTCTGATTTTTTTTTTCCGACACCAGTTTTTTTTTTCAGTGTAGTAAATAAAGATATTATTTGTAATCTGTTTAATTATCTAATTCAAATTTTGTATGAGTTTTTTTTTTGTATATGAATTTTTTTTATCTTTATGAAGTCTTAACATGTTTCCGTAGATTTAAAAACATCTGAAATGTTATGCATTTCCTCATACCATATGGGTCTAAAATCTGTTCACAACAAGTGATGCAACACAGCTTACAGGAATTATTTAATAAATGTAATTGTTGTTCCAATGCTTATTATTTTCTTGCATGAAACCCAAAAGAAGACGTTTGGCAGAAAGTTTGTGCTGCTCGTTTACAAACAAGAAAAATAGATGGTTATTTACACTGTCAAACTCTAAAAAGCCATAAATGTACCATTAAAAATAATCTAAATGGCTAAATTCCAAGTCATATTCCAACTAATTGGGTTTGGGTGACCTGACATTGAGTAAAAGATAGCAAAAATGTAATTTGTGGTTGAACTACTCCTATAATATATTGTTGGCCAATTTGTCATTTATTTCTCTTGTCTTTTTGCTTTGTTCAGCCGATAATGACTGCAAGAGCTACATCTCCAGCGCTGGTGTGCTGAAGCCCTCCATTGACTGCATGTTTTTACAATTCTGTTGTGGGACGTGTGATAACAGATACTGCTGCTCCAATCCAATTATGAAGTTATCCGAGGATGACCAAGACGACTGTTTTTTGTGAGAAGTTTTACTTCTCTCATGATAGAAGAAATGTCTTTCATAGCTTCATACTGACATGCACATTTAGTCTTTCAGTGTCGCTAGCGTTACCAAACTACGTTTTGAAAATAATGACTTCCCAAGCCCAATCCCCATTTTTGTTTGGTCGGACAAACAGATAGCGAAGCCATTGGTTAAAGGGGTCATATGATGCTGCTAAAAAGAACAGTATTTTGTGTATTTGGCGTAATGAGATGTTTATGCGGTTTAAGGTAAAAAAAAACATTATTTTCCACATACTGTATTGTTTCTCCTCTACGCCCCGCCTTTTTGAAACGCATCGATTTTTACAAAGCTCATCGGTGTGAAAAAGCGAGGTGTGATGTGATTGGCCAGCTATCCAGTGCGTTGTGATTGGCCGAATACCTCAAGTGTGAGACGGAAATGTTACGCCCCTCACCCTACTGTGATGATGCCCTGTCAGGCCGGAGCGATGATTCAAAAACATGAAAACCCATTATAAACGAGGCATTCGTTGCATCCAGTGGGGACATAATTATGGATTATAATGACTTATACTGTCTTTTTACGCGTTGCGTTGCATCGCGCCGCGTAAACATAAAACCATGTCTGCATTTGTGATCGGAGAAATGACAAACAACAAGCCCTACTCTACACTGCCCAAAAAACTCGCTTTAAATATATAAAATATAAAAACTCTTTAAATATAAAAAATTTTAAATTGACTTTGAGTCAGAACAGCCGGCATTGTAGTCTTCTCTCCCAGTTTGTTGTATTTCCTCAGCGACCAGCACGGATCAGCTCCAGGCATGACGAAGCAGATATCGTCCTCTTTTGGAAGACCAAACAAAGTAGTTTCACTTTCACAACAAATCACACAGCGTCTTTACGACATGGCGGCGGAAACAACAAAACTACAGCGAGAATAAAAGTTACGCCTTCTTTCTTTGCGTGAACATTTGGGCGGCGTTATGCAAATCTTCCCACAGAGCGACGTAGATATGTGGGGGCGTGTTAGAACGAGCCGTTTTAGGTAGGCGTGGTTGACCCTGAACTTTTATAAAGAATATCTCTTTGGATTTGAGACTTTAGTCTTTGCAACTTTACAGATCTTCTTTATGCACCAAGAGCTTGTAACACTCCAAAGAGAAAGGAAAAATTGGAATCGCATCATATGACCCCTTTAAGTCAATGCCGCTGAGCTGGGATAGTCAAAATGTTTTGATAGTGACAGAGTATTATGTTCATTTTTCAGGGAAATCTATCTGCGAATTAGAATAAGATTGTGATTAGGTCATATATGAACCAATAAAGTGTGTTTCTAATGTGTCTTTTTTCATAATCTGTCCTAAAGCAATGATTATAAGTCCGTTGCTGTTGGCGTGACAATAGCGGGGATTGTGACCTTAATCATTATGTTCATCATCTGCTGCGTCTGCCCCTGCTGCTGCCTCTACAAAATGTGCAGAAACCCCAGACGTAAGTGTCCACAATTGCAGATTGCATCCATTCTTGTTCATGTTTTCAATTTGAGTCATGATATAATTGGACAGGAGTCATATTCCATGTTCAAATGTGAAGCCAATGAAAAAATATTTAGCAATTTCTCAAACTGAATCTCACGAAACCCATCACTAACTTGTTAATTGCGACATTATATTCACAAAAAACATTTCTCAATTTTATTTCTTTTAATTTTGGTGTGAAATGTGACCTAGGTGTGTTTTCGTGAGGCTGATCCATGTATAAAACAGGGCAGAAATGTTTTTTAAAAAATGTCCACAAGTTTAGACTTTCTCTGACCTTGTAGCCTATGATACAAATGTCACATTATTTTCATAAACATGTATACATCATGGTAGTATTTATTTTATTGCCTTTTTATGCTAATCTAAAAAAAAAGTACTAAAAATACTATATGTTGGTAATTACTACTGTTAATTACTACTGTATTCTTTTTACTAAAAAAAAAAAATATATATGAAAATCAAGTTTCGTTAAATAATGTTATAATATATAAATATGGTAAATAAAAAATAATAATTGAGAATAGGAATTCCAAAATAAAGTCAAATGGTCTGGACGTGTTACTACGTGAATGTTTTTATGCCAAATAGATGACATTTTGGGTCAAAATATGACATGTGCGTGTTTTGTTCAACTGACCCGTGTGTAAGACAGGGTACAACTTTTTTTCACAAGTTTAGACTTTCTCTGACCTTGTAGCCTATGCCACAAATGCTGGAATGTGACTTTTGAGAGCAGAAAAACTGAATGCTGGAGCATTCTGGAATTCCCCACCCAGTCTGACTCACTGTGTCCACAGCAACCACAAACGGGGAGGAAACACCCATGTGCTACAGGAAGAGGCCTATAGTGCCAATAACCACTGTTAATGATTGTGTCACAAGACGCTCACATGACACATCTCAACTTCTGTTTTAAACATTTAGTTACTTAGGGGGGAGGAAGTGATTTGGCTTTTCATTCTGGGAACTAGGAATATAGTACCCTTCTTAAAGTGACAGTGCACCTAAAACCAAAATTTTAATTTTTGAGTGCACTACCCCTTTAAGAAGCATGTTCATCATATGAAAGACACACTGTTAAATTCACTGACCTGCTCAACCTGTTTATTTGTTTTCTGCTTTAAGCAGTGTTATTTTAATATCATTGAGATACCATTGTAAGTTTTTATTAATATTTTGAATTCGTTTTTATTTTTATACTTTTGTTTTCATTTTGATTTGAACATTTTAGTCATTCTGTTGTGTTTTTGTTATTTTTATTAGTTTTTTTTATATGTTTATATAGTTTTTATTCATTTTTATTTCAGTTTTAGTTATTTTAGTACATCAAGTTAAACTGAATAAAAATTAGATTTTTCTTTTTAATTTTAAAGCAACATTAAAATAAGAAATGTTTCTTTGTTTTATTTTATTTCATAATGTTTTTTTATATTTTGTTTTATTTTATTTCATAATTTTAGTTAGTTTAAAGTTGCAGAACAGCATTTCTTCACAGGGTGGATTGTTTTTATTTTCGGTCAACATGAAGGATATTCTTTAGTATTGTTGTAAAGTTATTCATTTATAATTGCGATATAATGTACCATTTTTAACAGTGTTAGTGGATATCTGTAGAGCAGGGTGGCCAATATAATACCAATATTTATATAATGTAAAAATATCAAATGGCAAGTTATAGAAAATCTGTCTTCATATTAAACAAATGGTCAGTTTATTAATATGCCTGGTCTCTCTCTCTCTATTTATAGCCTAATAATCTAATAATTAAGGCACAACTGGAAGTTGAAGTCTAGTGCATTTCAAATGTATCCATTTAACTGCGACAGAGGAACTACAGCTGTGATTGTGGTTGCAAATGTTATCAGGCTGCCCTTCTTTATTGGCTTTAAAAACAAAGTGTGTATAAATATATTATTTTAAATTATAATATTTGACAATATTACTGTTTTTAAAGTGTTTCTGATCAAATACATGCAGCCTTGGTGAACATAAGAGGCTTTTTTCAGAAGCATTAAAAAAATCTGCAGTGTCTTTTATATAATGTGCATGTATGCTATGCATTGACTGTGAATTTATCAACTCATTATTCATGTTCACCTTTGATTCTTTTACAGCTGTTATGGGAGCAACAACAGCTACAGTTGTAACCACACAATATCCTCAGCAGCCTGTCGTTCAGGGAGGTCAGTACCCGCCGTACCAGCCCATGCCGCCTCAGGCCGGGTACGGCGGCACACCAGCTTATGGTGGACAACCCATGCCGACGGGACCATACCAGGGCCAGCCATATGCAGCGGGACCACCACCCCCATATCAGGAGACTGGTAAGATAATACGACCTTGCACAACAAAAAGTCCAGTCAGCCGGGCTATTTACAAATATTCATGATGATTTTGCTGTGAATGTTGACATTTTAATGCACTTTTTATTTGGCAATTATGTGTCATTACATAGTTTTGCAATCCTTCATTGTCTCATGACTTGTGAGTCATGAGTATGACAGTGTTAAGACAGATGATTCAATTCTTTGAATCCGTTCAGAATGTTTCTGTGAATCAATTCAAAATGATTCATTTGCATTGCCACTGGAAAATGTTGCCTGTGACACTTGATTTATTAAAGTGTTTTAGTAAAAATATATGTTGGTAATTATTGCTGTTAAAACAGATTAGTTTTAGATTATTATGTTTTTTTTATAACAGACTATTTAACAAACCTTTTTACTTTGCGTTCTTGCAAGTTGGCTATTTAAAATGACAAAATTTAAAAAATATATATTTTTAAACCATTTAATCTCAAATGCATATTTGAGATATCTCATACCAATAAAAAAAAAAAAAACATTGCCATTCAAACGTTTTTTTTTAAAGAAGGAATCTCTTATGTTTATCAAGGCTGCATTTATTTGATCAAAAATACAGTGGAAAAACAGTCATTTAGTAAAATAATATTGCAATTTAAAAGAACTGTTTTTAATGTATTATATTTTTTTAATGTAATTTATTCCAGTGATGACAAAGCTGAATTTTCAGCATCATTACTCCAGTCATCAGTGTCCTTCAGAAATCATTCTAATATGCTGATTTAATTCTCAAGAAACATTTATTATTATTATTATTAGTGTTGAAAACCGCTATGTTGCTTCATATTTTTGTAAAACTGATATTTTTTAAGGATTCTTTGATGTATTGAAAGTTAATTTATTTGAAATAATGCAAGTCTTTTGTATCATAAGTCATTACTGTCACTTTTGATCAATTTAATGCATCTTTGCTGAATAAAAGTATTAATTTCTTAAATCCCAAACTTTTGAACGGTAGTGTTAAATTACCCAGTCCAACTGAGTTAAGGTTCAATTTGATAGAATCTAAAAAAACTGCATGGCTTTCACCTGAAAATTTCGCTCTAGATTGAAATGGAAAAAAATATGGATAGAGGTTTCATTGACTCAAAGTGAAGCTGTAATTCTGCATGCGTTTCCAGGAGGCCCAGGATATCCTGTTCCCTACAGCCAGGCTGCATATGACGGCGGGCAGGCCGCGTACCCCGTGCAACCACCAGTTCAGCCCGGATTCGCTCACCCGCCCCCGCCAACAGGCTACAGCTCAACTCAACCAGCGTACAACCCCACCTACGTGGAGCCACCAAAGACCGGCTACTAAACCACAACCTGGATTGTTGATGGTTATGTAGTTTTATCCTACAATTGCGCAATGTACATATACTGCGGACAGCATCCTCCAGTCGGGTCGAGAATGAAATGATCAGTGTTTGCTATCATTGCCGCTTTAAAGTCTTTGCGTGTGCCAGCATCGTTTTCTTTACACTTAAGTTTATATAAATATATTTTTATCTACTCCAGCCATTGTCTGTGACTCCAAGCCAAATAATGTTTTTGTTTGGTTTTCCTCCACTAAGCAAAAGGGAATATGTTTTTCGAGCCTCATAACTGACATGCTTCGTCTTGAAATGCCGTTAAGACGCCTTAAAGCTCGCAGGCTTTATTTTATCCTGGGAATTTGCACAAATCGTCGACACTTTATTAGTTGGTGCATTCGAACGACGCCAGCATGCTGTTTAGATGTTTTCACGTTGTACCATTCAGGTTTATGCATTTGTGAATGTTTGTAACAGTGTTCTCCTGACAGAGATCCAGAATATGCCTTATTTAATGCAGCTTATGCAGCAAATTACACGTGGATACCTTAAATACAACGTTGGTTCCCACCATGTGTTTGGATTATTTTATGGAATTTGTGTTTTGGATGTTGTAGGAATTCCACGTTTATGAAGGAGGCGTCAACACGGTTTATATTTTTCCCTTGTGAACTCTTTCCTTGAGGGTCTGAAAAGCATTTGAATATCGCTGTGGGAGGAAGAGGCTTTATTTGGTACTTTGGTGCTTTGTTTGGTACTCTGGATAATGTTGCAACACGCTCTTCCGTGTTATGAAGTTAGGTCATATGTTATCAATTCCTCTCTCTGTACAGTCTTCCACAGATTCCTGTTGGGTGTGTCAGGTCACATTTTTTAGATGTCCTTGGTTTAATAACTCTATTGTATGTTAAAACTGATCAGTGTTTTATGTTCAAATGTTTATATATTCAAGCATCTCCATGTTTGCGACCGCAAATAAAAAGAAGTTGTGCTGGAACCACTGTTAAAGTCAAATTATGTGCCTAACATTTCACACATTTTTGTCAAATGTTTTCATTTCTCATTAGTCAGAACATTTGTTCAAAGCCTTTTACCTACACAGAGGAAGTTAAATGTTGTACAGGAAGTGAGCTTACTGAGGTGTTGACTATTTCTAATTAAAAATAGCATACTTGCGCCACAAGATACTTTGGTGTCTCGGTAAAATACATCCCACTCCCCGATAGTACACTTACATCATGGAGATATCCATTTGACGTCTGCAAGACGTATTTGTCCAAGTGTTTGCTCATCTGCAACGGACGTTTCCAGTCAGATGTCAAATAGACGTTTAGAAGATGTCTTTAAGATGTTTATGATTTAGAATGTATGTAAAACTGACATCTTAAAGACGGCCATCAGATGTTTGTACACAGCAGATGCTTTCCAGATGAAGCGATCTTTAACAGACATCGTGCAGACGTACGTGTGCTATCTGGGCCATGTAGCATATTGAATCCACAGATTTCTTAAATTCATTGCCTTGTTTTACCACGCAGCTCTCTGAATAAGTTGATTCTGGTGGCGAACATTACACCGTGTCTACACCGGACGCGACAATTGTCGTTTCGCGCCGCAACGCGACCGTTGCAAATCATTTGTACTTTGTGTCAGTTCTTCATAAATAGTACGAGGCATCAGATACTGTCGGGGATTTCTCGCTGCGCCGCATCCAATGTAGACAGCATCTGATTGTAATAGGTTCTAACTTCTATTATCTTTTGTGATTATTATAGGTTCTAACTTCTATTGTCTTTTGTCGCGTCCGGTGTAATATTCGCCGTCGTCAATAGCAACGCTGTTAATCAGTCCACTCAAATGAAACCGGCGCTACTTTCAAGTCTCTCGTATCACTCCGCGGACTCGCACTCTCGTTTTAATCAGTGTATGGTTTTAATACGAACTCATTTGGCGCCATTTTGCGTCTTAGTTTTTGTGTAACTTACCTCAGATGTTATACCTCAGATTAATGATATAATGTACAGTCAGTTATTGAGTATCCATTTGCACACAGCATTAACCCACACAGTTATTATAATGAACCCGGTCAAATATTGAACATACAGCATTTGTCACCTGCTGTTAATTACCACAGAAAATATTTAATATTTAAAAAAAACAAAAAACATGTCTACAGTAATGCACTTGCAATGGAGGACTATATTCTGTTATACAAAAAGAACGGAAAAGCCAAAGGTGATACAGAATTCATTCTTTAATTCGGGTCATTGGTGCTCAGTCTTTAAAAGTATGACGAAATCTGAGGACACAAGACAATGTTTCTGAGGGGACAATTGCAAGATATACACTAAATATCGTTCATTACAAAACTTGACTTTATGTTTGATCATGACCCGGTTTCCATATCCATGTCTTCAACGTACTCGGTTTCAGATCTGCAGATCTCCTCCAGAGCCAGTTCTGCGACGATAGAATACAGTTTAATGCACTGCAATGGACTCACTTTAAGACAAATATGTTTAAGGATGTTAAAATGTGCTATATCAAATGTTCAGGCTAATCAAAATGACGTCGGCATCAATTACTATAATCGAATGTACGGACACAAACTCACCTTCGCTCTCGGACAGATCTGGGACCAGCCGGAAGGTTTCTCTGATGGCGGGAATGACCTGATCGTACATGTGCAGGACTTCCAGACAGTGTTCGGAAAAAGACGAGTCCTTCAACAGCAGCCAGTGCAGTAACATCAGAGCTTCTCGCAGTACCTGCAATCCAGGACTCGTCCAGCTCCGATTACCCACCGTTTGACTTCCTCTGCCTTTTGTTTTCAGCCATTGTCTGTGTAAAACCACAACGACCGTCCGCACCACCTGAGGAGGAATCAAAATGTATTGTGTGGTCAGTACCAGACATATCAGTAGCTATTTAGTATCATTTGTTCTGAACACCCTATAAACAATGATAATTTCCCATTGTGCTTCTATAGACATTTTGTCGTCTTATTTGCAAAAAAACTAATTATATTCTTGGGTGGTTTTGCTTCAAAACTAACAGATAGTGAGGGTAAAAAGTGTTTTCTGAAGGCATGTCTGAATCAAACCTCATTAATACACTGGCAGGATGATTCACACAAAGCCGGCCATGCCCCTGTCTTCTGTGTGAACAGTTTGGTTAATAACCGGATGACCTGTTTACAAACGAATCAGATTTTTAATACTATTTTTATGTAATAGATTTTAAATGAAATATTACAGGATAATCACCTCAAGTTCTAAACGACTCCACACATCCTCAGAAGCGGATTTATCCTGTCTAGATGTGACGTACTGGAATATTTTGAGAAAAGGACATGGATCTGGGGGGAAGAGGGAGGGTTTGTGTAAAACCATGCCAGCAGAGGATGATCAATGGAGCACTAAAAGATACTTACATTCATGTGAGCAGAGTTTAGTGACCATGTCTTCATTATAGATGATAAACGACAGAAATCTCACAGACAGACGGACTATTCTGTAGGACGTCTCCTGAGTCAGACATTTAGACAACACTTGACTTGACATCACCACCTGGAGTCTACATTTGAGAAATGAGACAGCAGTTTAATTATTATCATCATCATTATTATTATGTACTTAAAAAATAAAATAAACAAATACAAGTAAATTACTATAATAATAATAATAATAGTAATATTTTTAAAATAAAACACTGGCTTTGTTTGAAATGGAATACTAACTACTGTACTACATACTAGTATATACTAGCTGTCCCTCCAGAGGTCACATCTGTTGGTCTCATACGGCATCAAGGATGTCTAATTTTTGAAGTAATCATCATAAAATGAACTGTTATTCCATGTGAGGCATAAATTACTGTGATTTCTTTCTTACTTTAGAATATAATAGTTGCTTTTCTGAAAAAGGCTGCCTCAATGACTCATGCAGATGACAAATGTGTTCTTCAGAGGACTGAAACTTGTTCTGCAGACTGTTTTTCAAAATAGCATGTGAAATACAATACAGTATCAGTTTACAGCATGCAACACGTCAAAGAGAAGGATGCCACATTATTGACTTCACTACATTGTTTCATTTGGCATGCATAGTTTTACTGCATAAAAAAATATGTTTCTATTTAATCCAATTTTGTCTAATATTACACAATCTAGGCAAATAATCAAGATGTATGAATTGTGACTGATATTACTTATAATCCATTTGTCATACTAAAAATGGATATAAATTGAGAACACTACATTGTAGAGGCTAATTCAATCCAAAACCAAAGAACTGAAATGAAATCTAGTGCTATTGTAGTAAATAATATAAAAAAAAAAACTATACAGAAATCATAAAAAGCTAATAAAAATGACAAAAACACACAACAAAATTACTAAAACTTCAACTAAAATTAAACTTAAAACAGAAAACAGAAAAATAAAATCTAATTCAAAATATTAACAAAAACTATAACAGCATATGAATGATACTAAACCTCAAGAGCTGGTTGTCCTGCGCTCTCTCGGCCAGCATACTAAGAGTCTTCAAGCTAGTGCTCACTAGCGCCTCCCTCTGGCCAGCGGCGGTAATGAAGGCAGGATCTGCCAGCTGTAGGATCCTCCTGAGAAGAGGCAGCTGTGTCTGCGTGTCCCCGTTCAGATGTTCAGAGGCGCTGAGGAGATGTTTCGAACCCTGCAGCCGCTTCACGTCCTCCTGATGGCACAAAACCACCTCCAGAGCCTCGCTGCTATAGCACACTATGTGATAGAGCGCTTTCAGGGCGGCCAGGGCGAACTCCTCCTGACCGCCGAGAGACTCCTCCAGACTCGAGGTCAGGCTGGAGTCGGACGATCCCGACAGTGAGCTGCCGTGGAGCGAGGTCTTTGCTGAGCTCTCCACCGTCTCCAGAGACTGGCAGTATGTGCTGATGTGGAAGGTGAGCAGGGGGAGGAAGTGCGCCGCGGCTGGACAGGAGCGCTGGGTGGGTTGGAGAGCAGAGTCTGGGTCATGTGGGACACTGTCGGGGTGATGGAGAGCTAATGCGGTCAGAGCGGACATGGCCAGATTTTGCAGCTGGTGAAATCGAGCTTGAGGACGATGAAATGATCTGAGTTCTGTGGAGGACGAGCTGGAAGCCGACAACGATTCCCTGAAGAAAGAGGGGGAAAAAACTCTTATTCACAATATTTCAGATATTGAAAGATGCAATAAAAGTAAACATTGAAGAAATAGTTATACTATATACTACATGCTATAGTATAATATAATATGCTAATAGTTATTCAAACATGGATGTTTTTTTAATTTTCACAAGTTTCCAGGCTTAAAAATCACATTTTAGAATTAAACTTTTCCCTTTCTATTTCTAGGTTTTCATAGTTTTTACTTTAAGAAATTAATAAATTATTATTGTTGTTGTTATTAATAATAACAATGATAACAATAATATATTTTTTAATAATATTTAATTGTAATAATAAATACAAAATATTTTAAGTTTAAAAGGAATATTTTACAAGTCATATATAGTTATCAACTCAATGGTTATTACCAATACCATATTTAAATTCATAATAAAATACAATTTTAATAAAAACTACTTTGAAAATGTAAAAAAGCAAATGCCATGATGTAAAATTATCACTAATAATAATAATTATTATTATTAACAATATGTAATTTACTAATAAATAATAAAATACATATTTTACCATTTTAAAAACACAAAAAGCATATATCATGTAAAATCATAATTATAATAATAAGAATTAACACAATCTTCTATATTTAGTTTAAAAATTAATGCAACAAATATTTTGTTAAAATATTTTGTTTTAAAAATGCAAAAAAAAAGCAAATACTACTAATATTACTACCACTAGCAATAAAAAATATAAGAATAATACAAGTACAATGTTATTATTGTTGTTATCAATTCAATATTCTACACTATTTAATAAATAATAAAATACAATTTTAATAATATACATATAAAAAA